TAAAACAAAAAATACAACTGCAGTCCACATGTGGACTGCATGGTCGTCAATGGGTTAATTTCTATTTTCTCGATCCCTTCCTGCCTTCGCCATCGCTTATTGCCCCCCTTGTAGATTATTCGAACTGCTCTGACTCGCCTTCCATTTCGAACTCGGATGTCCAAGATATCAGCGTCATATCAGGCTGTGTGTGTCATTTCTGAAATAAGGTTCAAAATAAGTGTTATTCTATAGCTTATTCGAAAATTTCCGTGCCAACGTGCAGTAATTTAATAAACAGCTATTCTATTATTCCAGAGCGAGTTATTCTGTTTTACTAGCTCTGTTGAGTTTTCCTGTTAATTTTTTACTGATGGCGTACTCTTGGTGCATGATAAATAAATAAATAAACAAATAATTTATTAATTAAATAGACTTCTCATCAGCTCTAACTCATACTCTTGAACACACATGAAAAGCAATAATTTTTAGCTAGGTGTGCTTATTGTTACTTCAACATACTATCGTGTGTCGCTGTTGTTTGCTTTGACTATCTCGACGTTTTCCGCTGCTGCCATGATTCATTTTTTGGCTAGATACTACGGTAGCAGCCTACTTTTCCACAGCAATTTGAAGGTCTGTTGCATATTCGTCTGAACAACATTGTGGTAAACTTGTATACGTTTGAAAATAATAAGTATTGCTGGTAGCAATGTTGAGCTCAGGCGTATTTCAGATGTTGTACTTCCTCTTGAGCCTCTTCTGTCTTACATTCGACGTTTTCAACATAATCGTAAAGGTAAGCAGCAACACGGTGTGACCTGAGTTCCTTGAGAATTCGATAGACTCACATAGATTTACTGGAAATATTGGAGTTGAGCTATTCCAGCAGGCTAAGAACACTTTTCCAGTCAAACTCTGACAGCATTTCATAGAACGGTCATGAACGTGGACAGTTTTCAAAGGCTCTGTTCACGATAGTCTTAGGGTATCTAGTTTTGGGCGAATAGTAGAAGCGATTGTGTGAATATGGGCGAAAGAACAGCCATCCACAGTAAGATGCCTGCATGCAACATGTGCAAATGGCGCAACCTCTAGAGCCTCTACAACGCCATGAGAACTCTGCCTTGAATGTGTGCGCTGGCTTACCCGGCTTCGGGACTCTTAAGGAGAAATTTCGGAAACTATTTTCACCTTCAATTGTGTCTTGGAACAGCGAAACGAGCAAAACACCGCTTTTTTCAGGTCCACCATCTGACAGTCTCGTTCCTGTTTGTGAGTCCATGCGACATCATAATGCCGAAAGCTTTCTTCATTGCTGCAAGTTTACCTTTATTCTATTCTATTGGAGCAGCTCAGTTTGCCCAGATGTCCATGATCGTTGAAAGATGGATAGCAACCATTTTCGTTCGAGACTATGAGTCGGGATATAGGAAACTTGGACCGGTACTGATTGCAGCAACGGTATGTTCGGATCTGAGCTATATGGTGATGCAATACCCCAATTTTGTTGCTACTGGAAGTTACTATTTCTCTTCACAAAGAAATAGGAGTAGTGCCCATTGCGATTTTTATAAAAAAATAATAGAACAGGTCTACCTCGTCCAATGAAAAAGTGTAATTAACGTACTATTCGGGCTGTGTTCGATCCTCGACCCCTTCGACTTAGTCAACCTGTTATCAAAATAACGGAGCGTTTTATTGTGATGGTGTTCGAAGTAAAGCTAGTAGGTACATACTTTCTCGTTTAGGTAATAATCAATGGCTGCTCAATGTATATAATGTACTATGGTGAGACATTCGAAGTACCCCAATGGAATGCTCGTTCGATGCCAAGCACCACTTATCCACGGTCAAGTGTGGTGCTCTTGACATTGCTAATACTGAATTTTATATCTCTACTCGTAACCATCGCCTTGTACGTCTTCAGCCGCAAGCGAAGGAAAACGTAAGGAATCTTCAGGAAATGGAACATTTTGGGCACTCAGAAATTTAGAAGAGATGCTTAAATAGCTGCATAGTCACAAAGAATGACTAAACGAGCTTCACTAGTAAGAACGAATGATCGCTATAGAGGCAGAGATTTAGAGCGTTGGTTTTTCGTTCGAGAATGCTGCATATTGTAAAAATTGAAGCATTTTTGAGGTGTATATGTTACCTGAATGGCTAACAAAGGCGTACAACGTTGACTACTGACTAAGCGATTACAGTTAGAAGGCTTCAGTAGGCTAGGATGATGTGATCTTGGGCTAGATCTCTAAAGCATGCATTTGCTGAGGCACCTTATCGCGCCGTGACACGCCCAGCACAAAGCACGCTATAAGTTACACAAAAACAATACAAAGGAAAATTTATTATAGAAACATTCAGTGCAAATGCAGAAGCAAAAAACACAACATTTTTCGAAAATTCGCAGCCCATCCATGGTAGACGGAAGCACACATGCTTTGTCCAATAACATAGAATAGGTTCAGACATTCATTAGACGACTAATTCACGTGCCATCATTTGCTCTTCTCACAGAATCACTTCATACACTTCAAACCTTCGTCTCGGATTTCTTTTGTTGTATGATATTGACAGAACATATCAAGATTAGTATCAAGATTAGCGAAGGGATGTAGTGCGTAATTTGGGAACAATCGGGTTGTAAGGGACGCTTTCTTCCACCTTCCTATTTACGAAGTGTAGTAAATAACTATTTCCAGGATGACATTATCATCAAAATTTCAATCAAATGAGAACGCAATCGTTTCGAACCTCCTCTTCATGATATCTTCTCTTCAATTCGTCACTTCGCTTCTTGCTCAATTGTGTGGTTTGTACCTGAGAAGCTACCAATTCAAAAATCCTCTACGATTCGCATTGAGGGAAAACTTTGACGTGAGTCAACTGTGAATATAGTTTCAACGAATATTACAATAGCAAACAATCTTTTAAACATGCGGTTTGGATGACTCTGGATCATATGACCGCAATAAAGACGGCACCAATATTCCTGTAACATCATATCATTATCGAACGTCCCAGTTGTTGATCCACACACTGCCTTGAGGACATGAACTGAACAGTACTACTGACTCTACCTATTCACCGCTGAAGTCTTGTATGAGCTCTAAGGAATGGAATACCCCGAGTTTATAGTTTGAATGATGATACACAGTCNNNACCAAAAAGAAAATCCAAGCTGAACTCTTCCTCTGAACTGTTTTCATACTAGTTTTCTCTGGCATTCTGGACCTGCGTGAATCTTTATCAGTAACTTATGTAGATAACTGTAACATTGCGACTCTCACTTTTCAGGTTGACAGTAAACTTATAATTTAAGCTGTTCAATTACTACACGCTGTTACTACCGATTCTGTCGACCGTCTATTTCAAGAAGGTGAAACGGCGACGAATTAAAGATATCACGAACAAAATCAACGTATGTCTGTGATACCCAAAAATATCTGCTAGTTTCCCATTTTGATTATTTTGCTTTTCAAGATGAAAGCGACAGGAAACGATGGATGGACGAATTATTCAATCATGATCCAAAATCAGTGGAAATAATCATGCCGAACCGAATGCCAATACATTGTTTGAAGATTTAATCCAACTTTTCTAGCACAATCCTTTCTCTGGTGCTACACTTACATTGCGGTTATTCAGGGTCGTGATTTCGTTTTCGAAATTATTCGCCTCCAATTGGCACCGATTGAATAAATATATTTTACAACATATTACCACTGTTGATCGCACTAGACATTTCGTTGACAACCAGAAATCTTAATCTGGATCATTTTTTATACCATCGCAACACTATCTCCTTACTATTTTATCCCAACTAAAAGGTTTCTGAAAGATCTTCCATCAGATTCAGATTTTTCACATACAACAGCAAAGTAGTTCGGCTTAGTTTTTTTGTGTAATGAAGTGTTTGAGCCTTCCAGTAGTGTTGTCACAAGAACACCATCTCACAATATACCCTCAACCCAACTGATTGAAACCTGTATGATTGAATAGAAGTAAATGTAAGGGAGGTGGATAGTTTCAGTGCAACAAACAAGGATGAAAATAACTGTGTAGTTTCTTAATGTAGTGTTCTTTGCGCCATTTCTCTCCTAATAGTGTAGATTACGTGATCGATCAGACGATATTGGTCTAAGGGATTTACTTGTATTGGTTCCCAGGCACAGAAGAGGATATGAATAAGAAAGGACTCAAAAAACAGGAAGGGAAGGAAGGGGAAAAGGACCAAGATGTATACCAAAGTCGACGTAACTTCTTCAGGTATCACCGAATTTTTGACCTAACTCCGCCCACCTCGGTGTAAACCCCGTTTTCGATGATTTACTGCTAATAAAAAATGCTATTTTTCTCGATGGTCTTCGAAAAGGAAATCTGTTTAACGTCTCGTGAGTCGCAAGCAGCGTAAACTTGGCTGATCTACATTGTCATTCAAATTTAAAGTCAGACTTACTGCCCTAAATAATTTCAAAATTTCGCAGAGCTACCGTATCACAAGTAAATTTCAAGCATCGGCAGGGGATCGACCCTTTTTTTCACGATTCCTGAAGGGTACGTGGACCTCTGGGTTGGGCGGCCCAGTGTCTTTATCGAAATTGTTGGCGGGAGAATGTTTTCGAACTATAATTGTTTCTTGACTATGCGGGACCTTTCGACAGCAGCCTATGGGAGGAAGAGCACAGTGAATCAGATGATGAAAAGGTTTTGTTTTCGTATCTTGCATTTTTTAATTGGAGTTTTTTGAACATGTAACATTCATTTAAATGCTCACTAAATACGTAAACAACTCGTATGCCTTCAATGACATATGTTCAGATTGTAGACTGGCAAAATATTTTCAAATCGTCTTCCCCTGAGAAGAGTAAGGCGCTGTAGTTCTCCGCTTTTGAAGTGTGTTGCCCATGTTTGAGACGCAGTATTGAAGTTTATCGCCTCAATTCGATCGTTTTCTTTGCCTATGGTTGGTGTTGTGGAAAACTTGGCCTTAAGACGTTTTCTTCTTATTTTGAGTTTGAAGAAGAAGTTGAAAGTTGCCATGCCTTTATTGACATTTCAGTAATTTCTGTAAAAGCTCTGATCGTCTCTCATGAATCGCCCACTCATACCTATCCTTTTTTAAACTACCCCATGCAAGCCGATTCCCTTGGGAAGGAATATGGTGTCACTCCAGAGTGGGTAGAATGACTTGAGACAGTCAATCCGAAGATATGATGTAGTTCTCATGTGTGCATTAGACGCAGCACTTGCCGCCTAGTGATACCCTATAGGTTGTTGAAATATTCTGTATCGCTCCTACAGTAGTTTGGGGGATTCTCACATTTCCTGCTTTGCAGCTGCTGATTCTACGATGGCAACACTTCAATCACAGCAGCTAAACTTAACTGAAGATTACTGCATAAAGGTATCATTGAAGTTACGCCGTTTGTTTGTTTTCGTACTTTTTTTTNTTTTTTTTAAAGGCCGTATTTCCACAAGTGAAGTCAAGAACTGAATTTTTCATGTCACAGACGGGTGTTTTGTATTAGATTCATATTTTTATACTGCTGTATAAAGCAAAATGAGGATTGAAGTCTTGGGTGTTGGTCGATCCTGTTTGAGGGGTGCGGCCCGCATTCGACATCCATTTAGATTTGTCATAGTGTTTGAACGCGTAATTGACTTACGGTGGACAGCCGAGGTACAATATAATGTTTTTATTCTCCTTGACGAGCTTGATACCAATCAATCGATACAGGCGGGATATAAGGCTTGGTTAGCCAAAATGAAGTGATAGATACGGGATCTTAACATATGCCCATGTATGTGTCATAGTGGGCCACTTGCCAATACACCATCTCCGCAGGCTGCTATATGTACATATCAACTATTATATTATTAATTAAGTTTCCGCCGCAGGGCCACTGACTTAGACCTCAGTCATTCGAAAGAGAGTCAAAATTCGCAACAATGCTTCTGTTTTCCTTCAAGTATGCGATCTCAATCCTATGTCTAGGAGTTAGAAACCGGGGTACATATCTTGCCCCACCGGATCCTTTCCTTCGTTTTCACCTTCCTAACTATCTTACTTAGTTGTTTATTTTTTGAAACTGCTCTGACTTGTCTTTCCCTTCGACCACGAATGTTCAAGATGTCAACGTTATATCAGGCTGTGTGTGTGATTTCTGACATAAGGTTGATTCTGACGGAATGATTACACCACTTTAAAGGAATTAATCACCTCATTATGTGAGCTTTGCCATTATCTGCAATTCGTTGAAACTAGATGTTTCCGCAAGTGCCGTAGGATATCAGCATCGCCGCCATAACCTTGTTGTGGTCCACGTATGAGGGTGCAGTGGTTGCAGTAAATTAAACTGCATCTAAAATGTACGGAAGAATCTGAGAAGTTCGAGTTCTCCAAAGTAATTGAGAAGGTTGAGTTGGTCGTGTAATAGTTTCTGCGGGTCACTGCGGAGCAGAATTTCCCTACTAGAATGCAGTGATTTGACAAACACCTATTCCATTATTTCAGTAGGAGTTAATCTGGGTTTACTAGCACTGTTATGTTTTACTAGGTATTACGCTTTACTAATGGGCTGCCTTCATAGTCCGCCGGCCGGGCGGCCGGCGTGAAACGAGGCAGTGCTAGAGGGAGGAGGGGTGCAGACGGTCGGTCAGCCCCTCGAAGAGCTGTAAACAAGGAGAGACAAGATCAAAAACCATTTGTACAAGCCCCTGGTTGTTTGGTTTTTGATCTTGTTCTTCTTTGCTTTCAGCCCTTCGAATGACCGTCTGCTTCTCCCCCNTAGCACTACCTCGTGGCACGCCGGCCGGCGGACTATGAAAGCAGCCATGGCGCACCCTTAGCGAATTATAAATAAAGGGGTAAATGAACAAATAAATAAACTATTCATAAGTTCTAACTCATATTCTTGAACACACATGGAAATTCGATAATTTCTAGCTGGGTGTGCTTACTGTTACTTCGACATACTATCGTTTTTCGTTATTTTTTGCATTGACCATCTCAACACTCTCTGCTGCCGCCATGATTCATTTTATGGTCAGATACTACGGTAGCAGCCTACTTTTCCACAGAAATTTGAAGGTCGGTTGAGTATTCGTATGAAAACTTTGTGACAAACTTGTTTACATCTAGAAATAATAAAAATTTTTAACGATAACGCAAGCCTGAACCTGTTTAGCTGTTGTACTTCTTCTTGAGCCTCTCCTCTCTTACGTTCGACGTTTTCAACATAATTGCGAAGGTAAGTAGCAAGCACAGCTTGAACTGAGTTCCTTTAGTGTTTGAAACATTCACTTCATTCTACAGAAAGTATTGTACTTGAACTGCTTTAGCAAAATGGAGACTAGCAAAGACTAGCATTACTTTTTCAGTCTGCTTCTGTCAGCGCTGTGTAGAATAATCATTAACGTGGTAAAGGCTTTCTGAGAGCACTATTCACGATAATTTCAGGGTATCTAATTTTAAGCGATAGTGGGAGCGATAATCTGAATCGGTGTAAGAGTACAGCTGTCTACAGTACGCTGCTTGCGTGCAACATAGGCTAATGATGCAACCTCTACAATGTCATGAAAACTCTTCCGACTCGGATGTGAGCGTGGCTCAGCTGACTTTGGGACCCTTTGGGATGGAACCGAGACACCATTTTCACCGTCAA